AACTAGTTGCCACCCACACGACCCCAACTGGGGCCGGGGACAAACTGCAATCGAGGTACTTGCCCTTAGCAGGAACCCAACACAGGCATCTCTGGTCCACGGGCTGATGCTCTAACTGCTGAGCCAAACCAGCCAGAGCATCTGTTTCCTCTTTAGGTGAGTTTTGGAAGTTTGTGATTTTAGAGGAATAGGTCCATTTCATCTAAGTTGTCAAATGTATGCATGTAGAGTTGTTTGTAGTATCCCCTAATTATCTTTATTATCCACAGGGTCTATAGTGATGTCAACTTTTCATTCTTTATACTGATATTTTGTCTTCTTCCTTAATTTCTTTGTTAGTCTGGCTAGAGGCTTATTGATTTTTAAAATCTTTTAAAAGAACTAATTACCTTGTATTTTTTATTTTCTCTATTGTTCTTTTCTACTTAATTAATTTCTGATCTTTATTATTTCCATAGTTCTGATTGCTTTGGGTGTATTTTGTTCTTTTTCTAATTTCACTAAGTGGAAACTTAATTGATTGAGATCTGTGTTCCACAAATTTTGATATGCTGCAGTTTTATTTTTGTTCAGTTCAAAATATTTTCTAATTTCCCTTGAAAAGTCTTACCCATATATTATTTAGAAGTATGTCATTTAATTTTACTTAAATTTTCTATAGATTTTTTTAGAGGTTGCACTAGATATTATAATATACATACTTAACTTTTCAGAATGTACTTACAATTAAAATCTTAATTCAGCCCTGGCGAGTGTAGTCCAGTGGTTAGAGTGTTGACTTACACACCAAAGGGTCGCAGGTTTAATTCCTGGTCAATGGCAGGTAACTGGGTTGCAGGTTTGATCCCTGGCTCCTGTAGGGGGCACATGTCTCTCTCACATGGATGTCTCTCTCTCTCTCTTCTCTCTCTCTCTCTCTCTCTCTCTCTCTCTCTCCCCTCCCCTCCCTTTTCTCTCCTTCCTTTCCGCTTTCTCTAAAAATCAAAGCAAAAAATATCCTCAGGTGAGGATTAACAAAAAGAAATCTTAATTCAAGTTGAATGTTAAATCCTTAACACATATAGCTCTCTTTACCCCTCCCTGTTTTATGTAGTATTTGTGACATATAGTACATCTTTATATAGTGAAAAATCCTATCAGACAGTGTTATAAATTTTGCTTTCAACCATTATTACACATAGTAAAGAATTTTTTATTATTATTATTATTTTTTAATCCTCACCGGAGGACATTTTTCCATTTTTTTGTTCAGATAGAGTGGGGGGGAGAGAGAGGGAGAAAGAGAGAGAGAGAGAGAGAGAGAGAAACATTGATGTGAAAGGGACACATCGAGTGACTGCCACCTGCACAACCAACCAGGGCCGGGGGACAAACTGCAACCGAGGTACGTGCCCTTAGCGGGAACCGAACCCTGGTCTCTCTGGACCACAGGTTGACGCTCTAACCGCTGAGCCAAACCGGCCAGGGCAGACATAGTAAAGAATTTAAGAGAATGTTTATGATTACTGTTGCTCTTCCTTTATACTTAAAATTCTAAGATTCCCTTTGGTATCATTTTCCTTTCATCTGAAGAACTTCCATGACACTTCTTTTTTTTTTTTTTTTTTCATAACACTTCTTTTAGAGGATGTCTGCTAGCAATGAATAATCTTAGCTTTCCCTTGGCAAAATATTTTAATGCTTTTTATCTGAAGAAAAAAATGTTTGCTGACTAAGCTAGGGGATACCCACCCGTTGCCTTCTTGTGGCAGACACTCCTTGTGAACCTGGGCCAGACTCTGAACAAGCCTGTCACTTTACTCCTTGGCTCTGTTCTTTACAGCGGAGTGGGGAACAGAAATGGCAAAAATTAGGAAATGAAGTTCTAGCCTTGCTGCTCCCTCTTTACACAAAATCATTGCTATGGTCTGAATGTGTGCCGTCCCCCTTCCCCCCAGCTCCAAAACTCATGTTAAAAACCTAATGTCCAAGGTGATGGTATTAGGAAGTGATTAGATGATGAGGTCATGAGAGTGGTGCCCTCATGAATTGGATTAGTGGCCCTTACAAATGAGGCCCTAGAGAGCTAGCTCGCCCCTCCTGCCATGTAAGGATACAACAGTCTGTGACCCCAATGAGGGTTCTCACCCAACCACGCTGGCAATCTGATCTCAGACTTCCAGCCTTTAGAACTCTGAGAAATAAATTTCTGTTATTTATAAGCCACCCTGTCCAGGTTATTTTGTTATAGCAGCCTGAATGAACTAAGACAGACAGTCCTCTTGGTTCTTCCTGCTCTTTGAGCTTCAGTTTCCTCACGTATGTAAGGATTGAACTAGACCTGTGGTTCTCCAAAGAGGTTCCTGGGAAGTTTGGCAAAGGTGCCTCAGGGTTGAGGAGGTTCCTGGTTTATCTAGGGCAACTCTGCTTTGGCTTGTTTAATATTGAACTCTAGTATTAAAATGCATGGGCAAGGGTTTCTCCACTAAATAACGTTAAAACATACAAAGAAAAATGCCCAGCTCAGGCATCAGGTGATGTGGGGCCAGCATCTACAGTGCTTAGAGAAGGAGGCAAGGGGCAGGAGGAGGCCTACTTACTGGAAGGTTTCATCAGGCACAGGAGCAGGGGTGACCTCATATAACTGGAGGGGTCACAAAGAGTGGGCTTAGAGACATCAGAGCATCCAGGGCTTCAAATAACAGACCAAGGAGCTCAGGCCTTCTGTCTGCAGTGGGGAACCAAGAAAGAAGCCGTCATCCTTCACTGAGCAAGCATTTGCCAAGTGCCTGCTGTGGGTCAGAATTTTATGATACTGTGTCAGGGAGGATGCAGAGGTGTGGCTGACAAGATACTCCACTTTGGAGCAGGAAGCTTCTGGATTAATTCCCCATGACCCCAGGCTGTGTCCTCCTCACTCACTCACTCAACATTCACTGATGTTGTTGCCAGCCTCAGAGTTGACCTCAGTGATCTCCTCCTCCTGGTATTCATGCCCTTAGGTAGTCAAGGTGGGAGGGCCCACATTGAATAGGGTTGGTTGATCTGTAACCAATGAGATATTAGAAAAATTATAAATGACAATAGTAGAGAAATGAGTGTGACTTTCGAAATTGAGTCAAAAAAGACATGTGGCTTCTTGCTCTCTTGAATCACTCACCCTGGTGCAAGCCAACCACTATGTCTTAAGGAGCCCTGTGGAGAGACTCACATAACAAGGAACTGAGATCTGCCAACAGCCATGTGAATGACCCATCTAGAAAGTGGACCTTTCAGCTCCAGTCAAGCTTCTGTGTGATTACAGCCCTAACATCTTGACTGTAATCTCATGACAGACCCTGAGCCAGAAATATTCCACTAAGCCACTCTCAAATTTCTGATCCACAGAAACTGGGATAATTTATATTTGTTGCTTTAAGCCATAATGTTTGGGGATATTTGTTATCCCAAATCAATATAACTGATGCTACTATGTGCTATACCCAAGACACTGTCCCCACTGTCATCTTCTCACCTGGGCCATAGCAATAGCTCTTTCCTGGTCTCCCTGCTCCTTCTAAATCTCCTCCATATAAGACCCAGACCAAACTGAAGGCCATTATCAAGAAATGTTTATTGAACATCATGGCTTTTGCCTGCTCAAAACGTTCTATGGCTCTCCATTGTGTTTTGTGTGGTTTCCAGGAAGTATTTGCAATCAAACGGGAATAGTGCACTGAGTTTCTAGCATTCTTAAGCTGATTTGGGAGCAGAGTAGGAAGCAAGAAGAGCCCTTGTTTGCCCTGGCCCCTGGAATGACGACCCAAGGGCCCTCTGGGGAGGGTGGGAGGGGCCACTGGCAGCTGGGGCTGAGAAAAGGCAGCAGCTTTGTTCTGAATTCACAATGGCAGGATGCCCAGCACAGACCCAGCTTCCTGGCGTCCTCCAAGGCAGGGCAAGGTGGTAAGAGCTAGGGTATTCATCCTGCTCTGATCCAGCAGAAGCATGCCCTGAGGGGCCCTCAATGTGGAATGGAAGGCTGGGGTGGAGGTAGCATAAGAAACTTTGGGGGAGGACCTGGACAGTCTGTAGTGAGTCTGTCTCCTAATATTTCTTGAGGACCTATTAGGTTCCAGGCACTGTTGCTAAGCTTTTGTACCTGGAGCTAGACGGGGTTAGGTTCTACTGCTACTCCCACTTCACAAACAGAGGCACAGGAAGGGAGGGCCCTTGCCCAGGGTCACACACCTTGGACATGCCAACGCTGGGATTTGAACCCAGGTCTGACCCTGCTCTTGACCAATATTCTCTTCTGCCTACTTCATCTGTGCCAGTGCTGGGGAGATAGCAGTGAGCAGAAGTCATCTCAGCCTTCCCAGAGCCCGGTCCAGCAGAGTAAAGGTAATAAACTAGTTCCGAGACTATAATGTACACAGGGCCCTGCCTGGAGAAGTGCATCGAGCTGGGATGACCTTTAACTCAGCTTGGCACGGGGCAGAGCAGGAGTGGGGAAGAACTGTCCGAGGAAAGCAACATCTGTTGTCCTGAGGAGGCTTCACAGCAGGGACTGGGTACAAAGATTGAGACTCGGGGAAGTGACAGAATTAGTAAGAGGCAGAGCCTAGAGGGACAGTGGGATTCACCCTCTCAGCCCTTCAGGGGCCAGATCCCGAGGACCTTGTGGTCTGGGGCAGGAAGTTCTGACTTTGTCCCAAGAGCAGTATGGAGCCACAGAAGGTGTGTGTTTTAGAAAGATCTCTCTGGGATGGCATGGAAGTTGGAGTAGAGGGCCGAGCGCAGAGCAGGGAGGAAGCCATTGCTGACATTCAGAAGATGGGCGGTGGTGGCCTGGCCAGTGGAGGGACTTGACAGAATGGGTGTAGGTTGGGGTCTGGACAGGTCACAGTGGGTAAGGGAGGATATCCTCATTTTTCTGTGGGTGGCTAGAGGCCACTGGGCCCATCACTCTCCCCATATTTCCTTGGCTGTAACCCGGAGGAATGACACAGGTGTACAAGCAAAAATAGTTTATTTGAGGACAGAAGACCCCAAATCGGGGGGCCCAGGGATGAGGCCACAGCAGCTGCCAGGAGTTGGCACAGACGATCCCACCTCCCCAGGAAAGCCCAACAGCAAGAAGCCCCTCCCTGGGCCCCCTAGCTGCCTCGCCCACTTCCTGGAGGAAGGATTGTGCAACTGCCAAGAATCGTCATTGTCATCATCAGAACACGGTGAGGTTCTCAAAGTTTGGCCAGCAATTTCCGGCATAGTCGTTGATATTAATAATTACTCTGACAAGCACAGTGACTGTGCCAGCCTCGAACCCACCATCCAGTGGTGAGTGGGGTCTGTGATGAGGAGAAGCAGGCAGGGACAGGTGGGTCTCTCTGGGAGGCCCCATTCCAGCCTCCAAGGTGGCCTTTCCCAAAGATGCCTCTCCCGCCCATGGACCCAGTGGCTGCCTGCTCTCCATTTTCCCCAAGGCCACTGGCCAAGGTTGGATTCAGGCTGGGGCTGTCCCAGATAGCCCATGTGCACTCCCAGGTCTCAGAGACCCTTGCCAGGCTGGTTCCTCCGCCAGAAGCCCCACTGGGCAGCCCAGGAGGCCACGAACTCGCAGTTGTGGTAAAGGAACATTCCTGAAAGGGTGAGTGCAATGCCCACGTAACTGAGGGTGCTGAGGCGACTGCCAAACAGAAGCCGGGACAGGACAAGGTTTCCCACGACAGTGAAGTTGCCCAGGACATGGACGGTGAGGGCAGAGGTGAGGGCCAGCAGGGAGAAGCTGGCCAGGTTGTAGAGCACAGAAAGGAGGCAGCTGAGCAGGATGCAAGCCCAGAGGCGGGAGTCAGTGGGCGCAGGCGACAGAGCCACACCAGCCTCCAGCACTAGGGCTGCACCTGCCAGCAGGCAGAAGCTGGGCAGCGAGGTGGCGTACAGCAGGGTCACCGCATCCAGCCTCTCCTCCTGCAGCAGGGCACCTGCAACCAGGACAGCAGCCATCAGCACCCAGTGAGGAGAAAACCCCCACTTCACCAACCCAGCATGACCTCCAAGGCCCATCCTCCAGGAAGCCTGCCCCCTCCCCTTGGGCAGAGTTAGCGGCTCCTGCTCTGTAACATTATAGTAAAAAATCCAGAATCAGACCGCCTGGGTTGTGACCTGTGTCCAGTCCTCACTAGCTGTGACCTGGCTCTTAACCTCTGGAGGCCCAGGTTTCCTCGCCTGCAAAGTTAGGTGATAATACAACCTAATACACAGGGGTTTTTATAAAGATTCAAATAGATAACATACATAAAGTCCTTTATAAGGTAAGTGCTCAGTAAATGTAAAAAGATAAAATAAAAATAAAAATAGGCCTGTTATTACCCACTTCAAACTGCTTTCCATAAGGCTAAAACAATAACCTACTGGTGACATCCAAATGATCAATAAATATGAAATGTGTCTCCAAAAAAAAAATGTTCAGGGGCTCCCCAGGCCCTGGGGAGCAATATTCTAGGTTCTTTTTTTTTTTTTTTTAATTTCTTTATTGATTTTAGAGACAGAGAAAGGGAGAGGGAGAGAGACAGAGACATCAATGAGAGAAAACATCAGTTGGCCGCTTCCTGCATGCCCCCAGTGGGGATCGGGCCCACAACCTGGGCATGTGCCCTGACTGGGAATCAAACTGGCAACCCCTTGGTGCATGGGCTGATGCTCAACCACTGAGCCACACCAGCTGGGCTATCCTAAGTTTTCTGTTTGTTTGCCACCCAAGGACATTTTTCCATTTATCTTCAGATAGAGTGGGAGGGAGAGAAGGAGAGAAAAGGAGAAAGAGAGAGAAACATGGACGTGAGAGGGACACATCAACTGGCTGCCTCACGCACGACCCCGACCAGGGTTGGGGAGGAACCACAACGGAGGCACGTGCCCTTGGCCGGGATCAAACCTGCGACTCCTTGGTCCAAGAGCTGATGCTCTAACTGCTGAGCCAAACTAGCCAGGGCTGTCTTAAGTTCTTAACCAGCTTTGAAGGCCCTGCACTAAGTGGTCCTGACCCATCTTTCTTGATCTCAGACCTCATCACACCCACTACCCTACTGTAGGGACAGGCCAGAAGAAGTTCCCTGCTCTGCCACTTACTAGCTAGGTGGCTTTTACATTAAGGAAAAAAAAAAAAAGAGTCCAGCCATTGTGGCTTAGTGGTTGAGCATCAACCCACGGACCAAGAGGTTGCTGTTTCGATTCCTGGTCAGGACACATGCCCAGGTTGTGGGCTCCATCCCCAGTGGGAGGTGTGCAGGAAGCAGCCAATCGATGTTGATGTTTCTCTCTCATCGATATTTCTATCTCTCTCTCCCTCTCCTTTCCTCTCTCTCTGAAATCAATAAAAATATATTAAAATAAATAAATGAATAGAATAATTTTAAAATAATAAATTGTTTGAGTCAATTGTTGGGTCCACTCATTACTTCATTCACTTATGACCACTGGAATGACAAGAGAACTACAAAAGAGTTATTGTTTGTGCTTGGCTGTCGTTTACTAATCAGCATCTTTTGCTACCAACACTGAGGCTTGGTGAGATGTATCCAGGACTAAGGGAAAACCTTTTCGCTTTGCAAAGAAAGGGGATCCTACCACCTTGCATATGTGTGAATATGTGCCTGTGTGTGTGAGTGTGTGTGTGTGCACGCATATGTTACCACCCAGCCACTTCATAAAGGAAGTGGTGCCCATCATCAAAGTCAGACACAGATCAGGTGAAAAGTAGTATTCACATAAAGGCAACCATGGTTTGGGGACTTGTCCAAGTTTTAGTGGAGAGAGATGAGTAATCGATTCAGGGATTCTCCGAGCCTCTATGCATTTCCTGATACACACTTTCCAAAGAGCCACAGAGGAACTTACTCATAGGCTATGCTTAGAATAAGAAATCTCTATTTCATTCTGATGTTTTGGCTTTATTCTCTAGGCAACAGTTCCTCCAGCTTGAGCATTTCTAGAAGTGAACAGATAATTGGAATACCTCCTGCTCATTCACTCCAAATTTAGCACCTTTACGAGCTGCCTGTGGCCTACATGTTAAAGGTCCAAACACCGGAAGGTGTTCAGGATTTCAGGTGAACTTCACATCTGCAAGACAGTCAGGCAGCAAGGTCCTAACCTCCTCACCCAGCCCTCTGCCTCACTTTGCAGCCCGGGGAAAGAGCAGTAATCCTCTGTCAGAGGGGGCTCACGTGGGGCCCCCAAAATGCCAGCTTGTCATCCTTACTCCTCAGCGACTCCTCCTCTGCCAGCCCCTCCAACCTTCATTCTTTCTTCTCTAAAGGCATTTTTGTTTCAGTATCTGAACACGCCCAAGCTTCTGCCACATGGAGACAGATATGTTCTCTAGACCCTGTTCTGCTGGCTATTGGCTTATCCCGTCCTTACTCCTTCACTAGTTGTGAGATATCAAAGTCACCCTCTCTCTAAGCCTTGTCCCCTCATGTGTAGAATGGGCAGCATGACAACACTCCCCTTACAGGGCCATGTGAGGTGCTGAGTACAGGGCCTGGTGCCCAGTGGGAACTGCTCACCATGGGAGCTGTTTCAGTTCCCCACACTCTGCTCCTGCTGGCTACCCCGTTCCCTACCACACTGTTTCCTGCTCCCAGAATGCCTTCTCCTATTTTTGCTATGTGAAGAGCTGGGCACAGCATGGGCACACACTGAGGGCTCAGCAAGTGTTTTATTATTATATTATTGTTATTGTCATCACTGCACGCCTCTTCCCTTAGGTAGCCTTCTCTGGTCTTCCCTATAAGTAACTGCCCCGACCACACCTGTGTCCACCTTGGCTCTAGAGTTTCTCTCCTGCCATTGTGATCTCTGTTTCTGAGGGTGTCTCCCCACCAGCCTGAGAGCTCAGAGGACAGGGATCAGGTCACCTGATGCAGGTGAGTACAGCTGAGAACAGTTTCTGTGAGTGGGAAGTTGGCCTCACTCCTCTCCCCATGTAGCCCCCTGGGCCTGCAACTGGCCCAGGTGGGAGGGAGGCTGCTGGTCCTGCCCATGGCTGCCTGAGTGATCCTCTTCCTGGACTATTATCTTCTGCCCCCATGGAGTCTGCTCTCATGAAAGGAGCTGGTGTCAGCCATTTACAGTCTCATCTGAATCCGGCCCTAGTGCCCTTCTTGGAAACTCTGGAAGTAGAAACCTCCTCTTGTCCAAAACCCATGTCACCCCTTTGGCTCCAATCTGTTCCTCCCCATCTCTGCTGGACCTCCCTCTCTATTGGTGAGGCCCCCAACCTCCTAAGCTCCCTAATTAGCACCCTAAACCACATAGCCTAACCAGCCTGCCAATATTGCTGTCAGAGCCATTATAAATCGACCACTTAAGGAGTACCTGCCCTGTGCCAGGTCCCAGGCCAGGTACTGGGGACATAGAGATGCCCCAACCCAGTCCATGCCTCTCAGAGCTCCTGTCTGATGGGACACACACAGGTAACCAAGTGGCTGTAACATGAGGCATTCAGAATCTTGATGGGGGAAGCAGAAGGTGCTGTGGGAGCCTGAAGCAACCCACCTTAGGGGCCAGGCAGTTGACAAAGGAGAGATGGAAGGAGCTGGCAGAAGCCAAGAAGTGGCCTGACATCAGGCACCTGCCACTTTGTGCCTGTGTGCCTGGGTTCTGCCTGGCCATAGCCCATTCTACAGGCAGGGACTCCTTCTGGATGAGGAGCTCTGGACCTTAGCAGGTATGGTGTGGACCTCAAGGCTGGAGCCTTCCCAGCCTTATGGCGCTGCCTGGGTTGGGAGGTAGGGTGGTGGGTGTGCCCATGGGGTCAGGTTTCCCACTGCCAACTCATGCCCAGAACTCAGGCCTGAGCTCAGTCACCAGCTCTCATATAACCTGAGGGCAAAAATAGAACAAGGCTTCGGCCCTGCCACAGGGCCTGGGAGGATGGGGACAGGTCCTCTGGGTCCTGCCTCTGAAGATGCCAGGGCAAGGTTGAATTATGACTTCCACCTTCCATGGCTGCAGGCCGCCCCAACCCCGGCCCAGTGCCCTTGGAGCACCCGCTTCCTTCTTGCAGGCCTGGATCACAGGATCCCAGAGTTGGAAGGGAGAAAGAGGCCTCTGGGACTCCATCAACTCCAACCCTTCTCTACCAAACAGATGAGGAGACTGAGGCCCAGACAAGACCCAGACCTGCCCATGGTCCCCCAGTATGAACAGAGGTGTGATCTCCCTGCCCCGAGTGGCTGCCCTGGCCTCCCCCACATCTCCCTTGGATTTATGCAGAAGAGAGAGTGGGGTTGTGACTCAGACTCCCCTCAGAAGAACAAGCAGGAAGGTGGCCTCCACCCTCAGACAGAGTAATGTAGCGGTGTCTAGGCCTGGAGCCTCCACTCACTCTGTTCAGACACACACACACACACACACACACACACACACACACTGGTCTCCTTTCATCAGAGATGAAGTAATCCTGGGCAAATCACAAACCTCTCTGGGTCTTAGTTCCATCATCTATAAAATGGGAGTGAAGGTGGTGGTTGCCATGATGACTCAAGGTCAACACCCAGCACCCGGCCTGTTATACTGCAGCTCCCAGTATACATGACCCCTTCCCAGACTTAGCCAAACCCCTGGCCTTCTAAATCCTGCTCAAGGCTTTGCCCTCTTTCTTACTCCCTGGTCCCCAATGTCAAGTCTCCCTCTGGGGCCATAGCCTATGCTACATCTAGGATAGCATGAAGACTGACTGCTCAGGTTCGAATCTTACCTCTGCTGCTCACTGGCCTCATGGCCCAGGGCAACTCCCTCTGCCAGTCAAATGGGGACATTATAGTGATTTCCTTATGGGGCAGTATGGGGAGATCCAGTGATATAAAGAGACAAAACATGGGACACAGATCAATGGCAACTACTATTAATATTAGTTGGGCCTCTAGAGCCTAAATTTGGGGCCTGGAACTCACTGAGTTGTTGGCTGTTTCTGAGCCTCGGTTTCTGCCTTTTCTAAAGCCATGGGCTCAGTTCCTTTGTCTGTAAAATGGGATAACAGCCACATCCCTCACAGGGCCATCCAGACCACACACCCACCCTGATCCCCACCTCCTCAAACAGTGACCCAGCACTCACTCTGCTGAACGGACTTGAGGCCACGAAGGCAGGTGGCCACCAGTAGGAAGCCACAGCCAGCGGGTGGTGTCCGGAGCTCACCGGCCAGACTGCAGGCAGCCCCTAGGCAGAGCGGGCCCATGGCAGCAAACTGTAGCGGGTGGTGGCGACGGCCAAGCAGCAGTGCCGACAGGGCCAGTGTGATCAGTGGTGTGGTAGTGTTGGCCAGCTGTGCCAGGTCCAGGGGCACAGCGCTCAGACCCACGTTGCCGCAGGCCATCGAAGTGCCGAAGGTAAGGCTGAGTAGCAGCACTTGGCGGCGCGTACCGCTGGGCATGGGGTGCTGAGCTCCCCGATGGCATGCCAATGCTGCTGCCAGCATGTGCAGCGCTGAGAGCAGTAGGGGCCGCCCAAAGCCATGCACTGTGAAAATCCACTTGTTGAGGCTAGACATGCTGGCTCCCGCCAGCAGCCACACCAGCGCTGCCACGGCCACCCGGGTCCTGCCAGGCCGTTCAGGGGCCTGAGGTGTATCAGGGGGCCACTGAGGGGACCCAGCCACTCGAGCACCAGTCACTGCCACTGCCTCGGCAGAGGTCATCCTGCTGTCATGGTGTTCCAGGGGACAACGGCACATCCGTACCAGTGGGGCTGGGGCAGGAGGCCAGCTCCCCAGTGCCCAGCTCTGAGCCACCAGAGAGCCCCACTTTGGGTCAGGCCAGATCCTGGTTTCTCAGATCCCCACCTTCCGTTCAGACAGGTGAGATAACTGCGTCTTCTGCCAGGCCTGTTATGCTGTGTTCCCCACTCTGGTAGGGCAGAGCCCAGGTCGTGGCTGCTGGGATGCCAGGCTCTCTGGCACTCAAGCCTGGCCTAGTAAGCTCCAGGCACCTCTGCCCCGTGCCAGGTGAAGTCTCTACTCTTCTCCCAGCCTAGTGCCCACGCTATGCTTAGATGAAATCCTTTTTCTTTTTCCTCTTCGGTCCAGATGCCGGGATCTCCTGCGTTTTCAGGCCATGCCAGGGCCTAGCAGGGGCAATCCAGGCTCCTGCGCCCGGTGGTGCCCAGTAGTCGTGGCTCCCAGCCTCCGACAGTGCCCGGGCCCGCGCTCGGACCAGTGCCAGGCGGTGAGTTCGCTCGGCTCCACTCGGCAGGGCCTGTCTTCCAGCTCTCGGCAGCTTCGGCTGGCTGCGGCTCCCGCTGCGGCTGTGAATCCGGCGGCAAGCTACCGCCCGGCTCCAGCCCCGGCCCGGCCAGCGGGGCGAGGCCCCGCGCTCTTGGCCCCGCCTTAGCCGCCGCGGCCGCCCGCGCCCCACTGGGAAAGTTGGGCTGAGCCCCTGGCCCCGCCCCTGCCCAAGCCGCGCCTCCGGAGCCACGAGGGATGTCTCGCCCCGCCCCCCTCGCCACCTTTCTGGATCGTCTTTGCATTCACTCCATCAGCTGACCCCAGCCAAGCTGAAGTGGTCAGCCTGACTGCCTCCGCGCCCACCACTAGTGGTGGATCAGGCCCCTCCCGACTCATATCCAAGGCGAGTCCCCCATAGAGACCACAACAGGAGGGAGACACCGGTGTATCTTTCTGAGGAAGCCCAATAAACACCCCAGCTTCACCCAGCTTCTACGATCCTCCCAGAGGCCACCATCCCAGGACCATTCTAGGGACTTTCCCATTTCTGGCCACGGTTATCCCGTGGAACCTCAGCATCTAGAAGAGTTGGATCAAGGGGCCCTTTAAGGCCTCTCAATTGCCACTCCCTAGTTCCAGCACCTCCTCCCTCCCCCAGCCCAGGGCGGGCCCCTCTTGGCAGGCAGAGGAAGCTGAATCACCAAGGCCACCACAGTTGCGGAAGCTGGGTACCGCTGGCCAGCATCCTTCCCTGGCCAGTCACTGTCCCATCTCTGGGGCACTGAGAGCTGACTCATAACTGGACTTCCTGGGATCCACCCTCCGCCTCCAACCTTGGGTTGGCTGGGAGGCAGAGCAGCTGCGGCTAAGCCTTTGCCCCTTCCCAGGTCTCAGCGTTCCCTCTGCATGAGAGATGCCCCAGGGCAAGACAGGTTGATCTAGATTCCAAGCTCGGCCCTAGACTCTCTGAGCTCGTAGCCAGGTGCCCAGTGCCGGCTGCTAGCATCTTTCCTGACGTGGGACTTCCTGCGGAAGCTCCTCCCCACTGGACACGGCTGATCCCTAGCCTGTCTTTGATGACAGCAACCTGTCTAGAGGCACAGGACCTCAAAAGGCGACCACTTAGCCCAGCCCGAGGCGCCCTCTGGTGGCCAGACCTCAGAATGGCTGCAAGTGTCAGTCCCTGTAATAATCCTTGGATCTAGATTTTAAAGCTCCAGCCTCACAGGAGACGTGCTCAATCAGACGTTCTATGATGGGTTCAATAATCTGCATTTTTACATTTGTCTCTGGTAATTCTGATGCCCGCTGGAGCCGGCAAATCATTACTGAATACCCCAAACTATATGGCAGGGGATTTTCAGGCCAAGGACAAACGTATGGGGGTATTTAGACAGGGTTTCTCCAGGAGGGGCTGTAGGAGGAAAACTGAACCAGCCAAGGGCGCATGCCCCTCCCACCACATTTTCTGAATAGGAGGAATCAGGGCCCCCTAAGGGTTATATTCTTTGTGGGATTCTGTCCATTTTCCAATAAGTTTCCTTTAATAAAAAAAACAGTAATAATGATTTTTTTAATCCTCACCTGAGGATATTTTTCTGTTTATCTTCAGATACAGTGAGAGAGAGGGAGAGAGAGAAACATCGATGTGAGAGGGATACATTGACTGGTTGCCTCCTGTATGACCCCAACCAGGGTTGAAGACAAACCAAAACCGAGGTATGTGCTCTTGACCAGAATCAAACCCGCAAGTCTTTGGTCCAAGGGCCAACACTCTACTCTCTGAGCCAAATCTGCCAGGGCATAATAATAATTTTTAAAAACAATAAATACCCTAATCTTCTCAGAGCTGAACTTGTGAGGAGAGGTGAGTGGTGAAAATCTGTCCACATCTCCTCCAAGACTGTCACAAAGTAGCTCCCACCTGCCCTGCCTAGTGAGGGGTGGGCTATGAAGAATGAAGATGAACCAAAATGAGGCCTGGGTGCCTTGGTGGGATGGAGAGAGCTGCACACTTCAGGGTGGGGGCAGGAGGAAGGCTGAGGACAGAACCCAAAGCAGATGACCCAGCAGATGATCCCAGATGGGAGTCCAGAAGGTCCAAGTGCAGAAAGATATAACACAACTGGCTGCCAGGGACAGAAGGCTCCATCCCATCCACTCTGCAGTTACTCCCGGAGCTAGGTGCCACAGAGAGCTCAGTGGGGGACAGGAATCAAGGTGCCCAGGGTTGTAACAAGGGATTTAGACCAGGTCTGTCTGGCTCCAGAGCCCCAGTTTTTAACCTGTGCTCTCCCTTGTGGGAGAATGGGGGTCGGGGTGCCCAGCTTCATGGAGAGCATCGAGAGGCTTCCTCTCACTCTGAGCTCCACCGGAAAGCCCAGAACATACCAGAGCACCTGCCCGTGTCCACAGGCTCCCAAATGCCCCATATCTGAGTGCTGCCCTTTGGGAGCCTACGCTGCTGCTGTAGAAGCAGGTGATGCAGGGAGGGACTCTGGGAGGCACCGGGAGTGGGAAAGAGCCCAACTGGACTACAGAGGCTGTGGGACAGGCCTCCCCTCTTGTTGGTGCATGTCCCTAGGCAAATTCCTTCACTACTGGGGCCTCACTTTCCCTATCTGTGTTCTATGATGAGCTCACAGGAATGAACATGCTGTGTAAGCCAAGGCACCATCCCATACCTGTGAGTTAAGAAACAGGCTGAGAGAGGGGAAGTGTTCTTTCTGGAGTCATCCAGATCGAAACACAAGCTAGACACAATCCTGGTCCTTTGTCCCCAGAAAGGGCCTCTATTTAGCAGACTGTACCAGACACGACTGCTCTCTCACTCACATCCATTCTTAGGGTCCCAGCCAATTGTGCCAGACTAGACCCAGTATCCATAGGTGGGCTGTGCTGGTCAGAACCCTCCAGGCTTTGGAACACAGATTAAGAAAATTAAGAGGGGCTAGGGACTTGAACTGAGTGGGCAGAGTCACGGCTGGGACCACACTCGAAGAAGCTGACTGAGAATGAGGACGTGGAGAAGGCCTAAGGATAGTGGAGGTGACAGAGACCTGAGCCCCAACTTCCAGTTCCCTTCTGCTTTTTGCTGCCCACAAGTTGGGTCTTTTTAGCAAAGATTCTTTAATTTGAGCAAGATTCAGTAGCTTCCTGTTCCTTATGGACAAACAGCCCTGAATATGACAGTCTCTCTGGAGGGTGGATCATACCCAGCTCATGGACTCTTGAAAGCCCAGTGTGGGGGGCTGGCAGGGGTGTTCCCGATATTTGCTGCCTTATCCTATCTCTAACCTGGCCTAAGAGCAGCCACAGCCATTCTCCCCGTATGGGAGGGTCTGTGGTCTTCTCAGTTTGTGTCTCAAGGGGTGGAGAGGTGGCAGGGTGGTGCAGTAGCAGGTGCTGAGGGCTGGGGTCAGTGGGTGAGGATCTGGGCTCTGCTACTTCCAGACTGTGTGACCTGAGGCAAGCTACACACCTCTCTGAGTGTCCACTCTTCTGTGACAGGGTTGTAAAGGGAGGAGTCACAGGGCAGGTCCTGAATCTTTCTGAAAATAACCCTGGTGGTGATTAAGAAAGGACAAGTGGCCCTGGCCAGTTTGACTCAGTGGTTAGAGCGTCGGCCTGCGGTCCAGAGAGACCCGGGTTCGGTTCCCGCTAAGGGCACGTACCTCAGTTGCAGTTTGTCCCCGGCCCTGGTTGGGTTGTGCAAGTGGCAGCCACTCTATGTGTCCCTTTCATGTTGATGTTTCTCTCTCTCTCTCTTTCTCTCTCTCTCTCTCTCTCTCTCTCTCTCTCTCTCTCTCTCTCTCTCTCTCCCCCACTCTATCTGAACAAAAAAAATGGAAAATGTCCTTGGATGAGGACAAAAAACAAAAGAAAGGACAAGTGAACGAGCGCTCTGGGTACTGGGCACAGACAATTCACCTTGACCGAGGCCGCTTTTTCATTTGGGCTTTCCAGTACTTTGATGTTTGTTTCAATACAAAAGACTCTAAATCGCCTGCTTCCTCTACCTGCCCAGACCCTTTATATTTGAAAGTAGTGTTCTAGGGAGAGGCACCTGTTTAATCTGTGGCTTTGAGGACTCTGTGCTTATCACTGTAAAACCTGGCAGACATGCTGCCAATCAGAGGGCCCTCCGATGGCAGGCCCTCTTCCTAACTTCCGTAGGGTGGGGTGTGCAGGACACCTTCCTGGCTTAAACCCCACTTCCCAGAGGGCATCCCAGAGCCCAGGGCCTTCCTACTGAGAGGCAGGGTCCCCACACTCTGGCTGCCAAGGACTGCAGTGGTGTCCTGACTGCATTGGGGAAAAGCCATGGGTGAGAGCCCAGGCTCCAGGGTCCTGGGCCTCTGAAATTTGGCCTCTGCCATGTAATCATAACAATCATTGCAGCCCCCAGTTTTCAGTGTTTGAGTGAAGGAGGCCAGGTCTGTCTGTCTCCTAAATCATGCTTGACACTGTGGTGAGTCACTTTCTCTCTTTGAATGCCAGTTTTCTTATCTGTAAAGCAGAGATGACAACAATATCAATAACCTCAGAGTTATGCAAGAAAGTGTCTATCAAGTACATGCTCCCTAAACAATAATCAACGTCGCCACTGCCAGCATCGTGTCCCCCAGGACCCAGAATACTCACCCACCCTCCTCTGCTCCCTGCCCGGAGGTACCTCCCCTTCTTCTGCTCACGGTGGCTACACTTGCTTCCTAGAGTGAGGCATCAGGACGCTAGGGCATGTGCATCATCAACACTTTAATCATTTCGAAGGTAGGCTTTGACCAGCCCTGCAGGGCCCTCACCAGCTGCTATAGCACAGCTAGCTCTGGGGCCGCCTCTGACAGTGGACTGGACAGCTGGGCTCAGGGATGCAGCTCCTGGCTCCACAGGTCTCCTTGTAGCACCCCAATCCCAGAGTGGGCGGTACTCACAATGCCAGTGGCCAGCGGACTTCTGTGCTAAGGAGTCGGAAATGCTTCATGCTTTCATTCACACTAACACTGGCCTTCACCGGATGCCTGCAGGTCCAGGCTAGGCCAGACCCAGGCAGACAGACATCCCAGGGAAGGTGCTTGGCTCCCTACTCCCAGGTAGGCAGTGGCTTAGGAGCCCTACAGGGTGGTGGTTGCGTGATCTGGGGACATTCCTCCAAGTGCACATGAGGTGGCAGCAGGGTCAGGCATGTGACTGTGACAGGGACGTCTGGATGTAGGGTAGAGGTACAGAGATTGTTCAAGGCAGCTGGGGTAGGTGAGCTGGGTGGCTACCAGACAACCAGCCTCAGCTCGATGGTTTCTCCATTCTGGGGTCTGTAGTCAGCAATGCCTGCAGAAACAGGTTGAGCAGGGGTGTTAACAGGCCAAAGTGTCCCTCCCACATCTCATCTTCTGGACCTCCACCCCGAGGTAAGTGTCTGTCAGATCTGCTCATGGCTTGCTGGTAGGAAACTGGGGGCTGTCTAGAGCCAATGCAGAGACTCTAAACTCAGTTGTGACATCCCTGAGGCCCACAGCAGTGGGGCATCCCCCAGAGGGTAGGGGTAAGGGACAGCATACTGGATAAACAACACCGGGTGAAAAGAACCAGAGACCCTGACAACACTTGATGATCACTGTCTTCATAGTCCCTGAGGGGCTGTCAGGAAGAGGGACTTGCTCAGTGTGACCTGGAGGGAGAAGCAGGACCACAAGTGAAGTCTCCCAGGAACCAGCCTTTGCTCTCTGGAGACAACCCAGGCCCAGCATGACACCTGGGTTCAAGCTTCAGTTCTGTCCCTCACTAGGGTGTGACACTGGGCAAATTATTTAACCTCTGTGAGTGCTGGTGTCCCCATTTCTGAAATGGGGATAATAAGGATATCAATAACTGTGCTCTCCTTCTTCCCATGGGCGTGGGCTCCCTGCTAGACTAGAAGGCCAGGAGTGCAGGAGGTAGAGGACACAACTGCCCATGTCTGCCTCATGGCTGAGTCCACTGGGCTCGTCCCCTAGGCTACATCCTCCAGTCCAGCCTTTATTAGTAATAGAGGCCAGATCTGGGGTCTTCATCTGCCACCCTTTTGTTTTACTTATCAATCTGTGCAGAAGCCAGGAAGGGAAAGAAAATGCTTCTTAGGGGGGTTTTCTCTCAGAAAGCTCCCACCTTCCATAAAGCACTCGGCCCAACGGCAGGTACATGGTAAGTGCTGGGTAGAAGTTCAGGTAGCAGGAGCAGGATGGATGACTGTTAAGGGTCTGTTTGATGACTGGGCTGCTGCACAAGGATGCTCATGACAGTTTGGGGCATAAGACATAAAACTAGAGACAACCCAGAGGTCTACCCATCCTGCTCCATGCCCCTTGTTGCAATACCCAGTACTGGGGTGGGCCTGACTGGTCTAAGCAAGTCATGTGGTGATCTCTTCTCTCCAGCCAATAATGGTCACAGAACCTGGACCATCTTCTAGCAAGAGGGATGGGCCCAGGAATGCACCTTTGTCCCATTCCACCTTTGAGACACCAGGAGAAGTTTTCTGGGGAGTCAGATGAGTTTCCTCAATCCTAAAAGGGAACAGCCCTGGGAAGACACAGCATAACCTCTTTGGAGAAGGAAGCCAACCAAAAAAGGGTGGTGGAGTCCTAGGGAAGTGGGCTGGAGCCCATGTTACACCAGCCCTGAAATCCTCGCTCCCTCTGGACTCCAGTCACAGGGCCAGCAGCTGTCAAACTGTGGGAGCTAGTTTGTACTGCATTTATTGTTAGCTGCAGCCCAAAGCACCCTCCTGGATAACATATTCTATGTGGCCATTACAAAAAAATAGGAAAATCTACACATACCAACATAGAAAGATGTCTGTAATATATTAAGAATGGAAAAAATTAGATTATACACAGTATATACAGCTGCACCATCTGATATGCTAGCCATTAACCACACATGGCTACTGAGCGTGTGAAATCTTAGTTTTAAAAAAAAAAAGGGCCCTGGCCGGTTTGGCTCAGCGGTTAGAGCGTCGGCCTGCGGTCCTGAGAGACCCGGGTTCGGTTCCCGCTAAGGGCGCGTACCTCGGTTGCAGTTTGTCCCCCCCTGGTCGGTTGTGCGGGTGGCAGCCACTCGATGTGTTCCTTTCACATTGATGTTTCTCTCTCTCTCTCTGTTCCTCTCTCTCCCTCCCACTCTACCTGAACGAAAAATGGAAAAATGTCCTCCGATGAGGATTAAAAAAAAAAAAAAAAAGGGCAAGCAAAATATGTCATTAATAATTTTACATTGACTTCATCCTGGAATGAGAATATTTTGGATATACTGGGTTAAATAAGACTATATTATTAATATTAGTTTCACCAACGAGAAATTTTAGAAGTACGTGTGGGGCTTACATTTTATTTCTATCAGATAGCATTGCTATAGAGTATGGCTCCATTTTTTATGAATGACAAACTTACATATTTAAAAACTATCTGGAAGAAAATACACCAAAAGTTTACAGGGGTTATTTGTGGGTAGTGAATTACAGGTGATTTGAATTTTCTTCTTTTTTACCTATCTGCTTTCCTAGAGTTGTCACACTAAAATTCTTAAGAATTCAGTTAAGTAAACTATGCAAACTTGAGCACAACAATTATCTGAGGCTGGGGCCCAGGACGGTTCTGGGGAAAGCTGGGGTGCGTGGATGAAGCCTCACTTCTGGGACAGGGCTGGGGTGAGGGACACATCCAGAGGTGGCCAGCCACCAACTCACCTTGCTGCAACGGAATGTCAGGGGCTTGGATAAGCTGCCAGAACTCACGTTCCCCTGCCTTTTTCCCCATCACAGAGGTCAGGTAAGGGCCTGACAAGGAGGCTTCTGTTTCATACCTATCAAAGGGACAGGCAAAGAGGGCAAAACACTGACTTTTGCTTCCATTCACCCAAGGGCAGAAGCGGAGCTCACCCACACTAAGAACTTAGGGCCAGTGCTGGCCAAACCCTTCCTGGGTCACCTTGCCATGGGTCTCACCTCCACCCCTCCTCTCCAGCTCCACTGATACTGCCCATGCAGGTGACTTCATCCCCTCTGTACTGGCCATGACCATGGCCTGCAGGAAGGAGCACCTATTATTACATTATCAACCCAGCAGCTGGCCCCTCTCTGAGGGCTGATATTGTAGGGGTGAGAATCAAAAGCTGCCAACATCACATATAAAATGCCAATGTCCAGTGAGAGAGGGAGAAGCCAGTGTGCAGAGAGAAGTTGGAACATGGGGGACAGAGTCACACAGTGGAAGCACTGGATCCCTGGTTCTGGAAGTTTCTGTGGTTCAGTGGCACTTCCCCTTCTTGTGGCTGGGTTGCTCAGGCTTCTCTCTGACTCTGTATACACCGTGCTCCTCATTACCAGAGAGCGCTGGAGTTAGAGTTCTGGTCCTTGCAACTAAGAATCTCCTTACTCACACCACCACCCTGAACCCCTTGCCTCCAGCTTTGCATTTCTCCAACTTATCTGGACGCCACAGCCAAAGGGTCCTCTTAAAACTCCATGGGCCATGTCCCTCCTCTCTCTCCAGAATACTTGGTCTTAGAGAAGGAAGGTTTTTATAGTTTTAAGAAACAGAAATCCATTCAGGATGACTTAAGCAAAGGGTAAGTATTGTTTTAGGGGGTACCATGGAGCAGCCCCTTTCCCCAGACATTCCCTAACTCTGTGGGGCCATGTGGTCCCTAACATTGTGTGTGTGTGTGTGTGTGTGTGTGTGTGTGTGTGTGTGTGGCGGCAGGGTCACATGGCTGCTCAGGACACTTCTCTCTGCACACTGTGTTCTTCCTTTATCTCTCTTTTCCCTTTATCTCTCTGTCTCTGTCTCTCTGGCCTGAAATTTCTTGGGCCCAGATGACCCCAAGGCTCCATCTATGGTCCCTCCCTGGCTGATGGAGGCTTTCCTTTGGGAAATCAAACTGGAGACAGAAATTGGGGCCCTCTCAAACTGAGGCATATCTTTCTAGAAGAGAAGTCTGGGGTCTGGGTGACCTGATGGAAGGCGCTCAACTACTCTGGGCCAGATTCTCTATTGGTAACACAAGAAACATTCCCATCTTATTTAGGCATGATCCCATTTCAGGGACGTGGGTTAGGATGGGGTGAGGGCTGGGAGGTGGGGGTCTCACATGAATTCTCCAAGCTCCTGGGCCTTCTTCAGGACATCTTCCAAGGAGGACCCAGCAGGGACAGAGATGGTGTGTCTGTATGGTGGCCAGACACTGGGGACCTTCAGCAAGACATAGATGTCCTCTGAGACTTGACCTGGTGAGGGGGGCACTGTAGCTGGTTCCAACATGACTGTACCAAGGAGAGAAGAAATGTCAGCTAGTATGAGGGCAAGGAGCCTGGGTGTTAGTCCTCCTTTCTTCCCTTAAGACACTGTGACCTATCAGGACCTCCTCCTTCCATATGGTCCCATCTCAGCCAACAGTACCACCACCTGCTTGTCTCAAACCTGGCTGCCATCCCAGGCCACCCCTGTCCCTTTGCCCCCACATCCCCAACTACCCAAGGTCAGGCGCCTCAATGGTTTCTCTGCCTCCAGTATCCCCCCTCATATCTATCTGCTAGATAGCACCCCAGAGGGCTCTTTCTAGAATATGCATCTGCTCATATCACTCCCCTGTTCTCTCTGAGGATCTCCTCTGCTTTTCATTCTTCTGCTTGCCACTCCAGCTCATTCTCCCAGACCCCCCTCTTTAGCAAGACCCTTCATCCAAATTCCAGTCTTTACACCTCTGTGCCTTTGCTCTTGTTGCCTCTTCTCTGTTCTGCCCTTCCTCCTCTCTTTTCCACTGGCAAATCCCACTCCCAACTCAAGTTCCTCTCCCAGAGGAAGCCCTGATTCAAGCTGCTAATTGGGACTCATTACGATGAATAAGAGCTAACCAAAATGCTCACTCCCCATTCATTCATTCATTCATTCATTCACTCAAACATTTCTGTACTTGGTATTGCAAAAGGGCTGGAGATTCCTGGCCCACCCAGAGCTCTCCATTTGGTGTCTCCCTCCACACAATGTGAGCTTCTAAAAAACCACATCTTAGCTGCCAGTGTGTCCCATGCACACCTGCAAACTTCTATTGACTCAGCAAATCAGGACAATAACCACCCCTCATTGGGCTACGAAGACTTCAATGAATGCCCTGCAGATTGTAAACAGCCGAGCTTCCGTGAAAGGCGTGACTACCTCTTGGTGCCAGGCAGTCTGGGGAGATGAGATCCACATAGCTCTTGTGGTTTAGGACAGGCAGTAGCTGGGAAATCATGAGAACATTCTGGAAAGCACCATCCTGCAGACTGGTCAACAGAGCAGCCCTTGCATTGAAGCATGCTGTGCCTAGCTCCACTCCAGGCACAGGGGAGGTCATCAACAACTGGCGACAGAGTGGAGGAGAAGGAGAAGGTGAGTCAACTAGCAGGGAGAAATCTCCCACGAGCCACCAGGGTGGACCACAGTCCCAGAGACTCTTTCTCACCTGCAGTGCCAGAGGGGTGCTGTAGACATTCCCAAAGTAGCCCTCTGGGGTCTGAGCCTTCAGGATCTTCTCTTGCACTATCCTGATGGCTAGGGTGATCCTGTTTCTCAGATTGGGGTTGAGGTTGGAGCGCTCTAGACAGGTGAAGGCCAAGCCCGCCATGGCCTCTGTGTCTGCAGGGAACAGAACATTGGGGTCAGACCAGGCAGGGTGGAGGGGCAATGGATGGGCAGAAGGACTTGAAGAAGAGAGTCAACATGGTCAGATCAGCATCTTAGAAAGTTTCTACCAGCTAGGGGGACCAATTCAGCTCAGTTTGACCACGACTTTCCCAGTTTGGGCACTGTAAGTCCAGTGTCCTGGGAAACCCCTTAGTCCTGAGCTAACTGGGATGGTTGGTCTCCCTGTCCCTGTCTACTGTTTGGTAGTTAGAGGTTAGGGAGAAACTGGAGGAGCTAGATCCAAAAGGACTTTATTCTAAGTCACTCATTCTCAAACCTGCCTGCACATTGGAATCACCAGGCAAGTTTTAAATGGTTGGATACCTGGATTCATCCCAAGGTGGTCTGGTTTAATAGGTCCAGGAAGTTGACTGGGCCCTGAGGGTTTTTAAGTTTTCCTATGCCCAAAGTGACTTATTGTGTCCACAGTGGTTTTTCTACAAGCTCCTGAGATAGAACAAGGTCCCTGCTGGCAGAGGCCCTGCTGCCTTCTTCTCTCTGGGCATCTAACCACCCCTCTAACCTACTCTATCCCATCCCACCCTATGCGAGGCACACACACACACTCAGACCAGGCCCTGAATTATAATGACAAGAAAGGGCACTGGAGGCCCCTGATCACACAGTGAGGAAGCAGATCCAGGATCCAGGTCTCAGGCTTCTCAGCTCATACGATGATAAATCACAGCTATATATCTAGAACTTTCTCCATGCCAGGCATCATGCTAAGCTCTTTACTTATAAGGCATGCTTTATCGAGATGCTGCTCGAAAGTTATTTTACAGGAGAAACTGAACCAGAAAGACCAGCTGACTTGTCCAGGATGTCCTACAATGTGCCATGGAGCTGGGTCAGGATTCCAGTCCAGCTCCAATGCTGGGCACAGCCACTGCACCATACACAAGCCCTCGCCATTTTGCTCCTAGTGGACTCAATAGGCAGGGGTCCCAAGGACAGGAGCATGGGGCCAGAGGATAGAAGCCTTCAGTTGGGGCTGGGGGTTGGAGCTAGAGGAGCGCCAGCCTGGCCTTGCGGCATCTGCCCACTCACCCACAGAGAGGTGGCCCTGGAGGAGATGGTGGTCATGTTCTACAGCATACAGAAGCTTGCCAACCACACTGTCATGGACCCGCTTCTGGTGGACACACAAGGCCAGGATGCTCAGGCTGTACTGGTAGTAGCTGGAGTGCGGGTAGCCCTTGTGATTGTGCCCTAAGAGAGAGAAAAGCAAGGGGTGAGGGTGTCACACCAGGCCTGAGGGGTTACCTCTCTGTCCCACCAACACACAGGACCCTATGGCCTCTACTTTCCAATACCCTCCTTTGGGTCATGGGATCCTTCATTCCCTCAACACATACTTGCTGAGGCCCCACTAGATGTCAGGCTTTGTGTTTGGAGGTAGGAATACAGGGCAACAGGCCAGGCACAGTGCAGCTTGGGCCTCCAACAATAATACTATTCACACTCACAAGAGCACGATTAGAACTGAAACATGGATAGAGGTCCATGGTGCAGTATAACAGAGATCTTTGAGTATCTGGGGAGTTGGGGCAGGAATCTTCAAGGAAGTGATGCTGGGGAGTGAGGTGGGAGAGAGCTGGAGGGGAGGGAAACTTTCCAGATGCGGGGAACATATATTGAGACCCTGACTGGGGAGCTAAGAGAAGGCCAGTGTGCAAGAGACATATGAAGAAATGCTCAACATCACTAATCATCAGAGAGATGCAAATTAAAACAACAATGAGGTATCACCTCACACCTGTCAGAATGGCCGCCATCAACAAATCATCAAACAACAAGTGTTGGCGAGGGTGTGGAGAAAAGGGGACTCTAATACACTGCTGGTGGGAATGCAGACTGGTGCAGCCGCTATGGAAAACAATATGGTGCTACCTCAAAAAATTAAAAATTGAACTTCCATTTGACCCAGTGATCCCACTGCTGGGAATATACCCTAGGAAGCCTGAAACACCAATCAGGAAGAATATATGTACCCCCATGTTCATAGCAGCACTATTTACAATAGCTAAGATCTGGAAACAGCCCAAGTGTCCACCAGTAGACGAATGGATAAAAAAGCTGTGGTACATATACACAATGGAATACTATGCAGCGGTAAGAAAGAAAGATCTCTTATCCTTTGAGACGACATGGAGGGACCTGGAAAGTATTATCCTAAGTGAAAGAAGTCAAGCAGAGAAGGACAAATACCACATGATCTCACTTATATACGGAATATAATGAACATAACAGTCTGAGGAATACAGTAGACCCAGACACATGGAAGTGGGGCACAGACTGACATCCCTCAGAAGAGGGGATGGGGGGTGGGGGGGGGTGGGAAGAGATAAACCACAGGACTTATTTGCATGTATGCATGACCAATGGACATGGACAACTAAGCCGGGGACAGGGTGGAGGGGGGGTGGGGTGGGGGGTGCCAATGGGGTAAAAAGGTAAAATATCTGTAACAAAAAAAAATAAATAAATAGAAAAAAAAAAAAAAGAGAAGGTCAGTGTGGCTGGAGCCCATGGAGGGACGGGTGAGTTGGTGAGCCAGAGAGTGGATGGGCAGAGCCTAGAGAGCAGAACATGGCAGACAGGCGGGGCCTGTGGGCTGTGAACCCAGTAGTGAGCAGCCCCTGCAGGGTTTAAGAAGCACTAAAGATCAGATTTATATTTAAAATGATCGCTCTGTGTGTGCTGGGTCAAGTCAGGAGGCAGGAATGTTAGCAGGAGAAGGTGAGGAGTAAGTAATAAGAAGGCTGGGCTGTTGTTCCAGAGGTGGATAGTTAGATCAGTCTTGGTGGCTGAGCAGCAAAACTTGCCGACAGAGTGCATGTGGAGTGTAGGATAGTCTTGATCAAGGATGACTACTGGGACAGGCCCAGCCTCCAAGTGGATAGTGAGATAGGTAGAATGGAGGACAAAGGAAGCCTGGGGAGAAAATGAAAAATTCTGATTAGCCCGCCCCACCCCTGGCAGACTATGTGCCCTCACCAATGGTCCTCTTCTCATCCTCCAGGAACCGTTTCAACTGTGAGACCAGCCTGTCTCCCTTGTGACCTCCAACAAACTCGCAGTTGGCCTTGAGAGCAAGCATGTAGAGAGCCAGCTGGCCCATGGATGGCTTGGTTGGGAGGTCACTGTTGTCATCGCTGGAGGCAAGCATAGGACAAAGCCAGTTAACAACACTTCCAGGAGAAAATGCCACCCAGGTAAGCCTGGCTTGGGCCGCAACCCAGACCAACATTACAAAGTGGGAAAAAATCCTAGCAGTTGGAAAATTTGCGAGAACCTCCCCAAAGTAGATATAGTCAGCCATGTAAGTTGTGAGGTGTATGCCACACATGTTTCATAAAGATGAAAAATTAAATGCAAGGACAAACTCTGAGGGTTCTTTCATCCAAATGACCTGTGCTTGCCCCATCATTTTGGTCACCCTTCACCCTTTCTCTCTTCTCCCTGCCCTGCATCCCTTCTCAAGAAGGAAATGCTCCATGGTGCTCCTGATCCTTCATCTCTCATTCAAATTCTCACACTGGACCTCAGAATAGACCTCCCATTAATCACCCTAGAAACAGAGCACAAAGTCATGTGCTGCTTCTGAGTTCAGTATGGAAGAGTGTGGTCATGAATCAGTGATCTCTGCCCCAGGCATGGAATAGAAGCATAGTTGCTGCTTCTGAGCTCAGTATGGAAGAGTGTGGTCCTGGATTAGTGATGTCTGCCTCAGGTACAGGAGGGTTCAGTAGCAGCACAAGGACTCTGTACTGGCATCTCCAGTCTAGTCAAACCAACTCCATTCAACAGATGGAAAATGGCCCAAGGGAGATGAAACTTGTCTAAGGTCTCCCAACCAAGCAGTGACAGGCCCAAACCAGAATGCAAGTCTCCTGTCTCTTAGGATGTGGAGCAAGACATGGGGAAAAAGAAGAGAGAGCGTGACAATACCTCAGGAGGCTCTGCTGGTAATCAAGCTTGAGGCTGTGTAGGTAGAGGACCTCCTTGGTGCCAGCCTCCATGCTGGAGAGGCGCAGGCCCACATAGATACTGGGGTTCAGATGTTCCACAGAGAGCTGGTCCATCCAGGGCAAGAGGTGCTGGCCTAGACTCTGCACTAGGTTGTGGTCCACCTCTGGTATGTCTTAGGAAAGAGAACAAGCCAAATGAGGTCGTAGGGGCAGGCCACCAGCAAGGAAATAATTTTACCTTATCAGGACCTTCTTCAAGGAATAAATGTCCCCACTCCACCTCCACCTACAATATACCCTACTTGTATGGGGAAATCTAGCCTAATTAAAGGCAGCAGGGTAATAGGGGGAAAGCAGGTATCCCAAAACAGAGGTTGGAGTGGACCAGGGAGGGGTGGTAGGCTGAGGGTAGAGGAAGCTGGTTGCCAGGCAACTACTTTGCCCATCATGGGTGACAGAAAGACCGGAGGCCAAGCCCTGTGGTATGGCCCAGGTACACCTGACCTCATTTGGTCCTCATGCCAGCCCCTTGATGTAAGTACTGTCACTGCTTTGCACAAATGAGGAAACAAACATTCAAAGTCATGTCTTACATGAAGCTGCTGAGCCAAGGATGGACCTATCTGCAAAGCCGCTGCCCTTTGACACTGCTGATCTCTCGTTCTACCCATTTACAAAAACTTCAACCCACACGCAGAACATGTTACACATCTGATTTTAAAACACTGCCCACTGCCCCCTGGCTACCTGGGGCTGCTTGGTGAACTTCTCTGTGCAGATCTCAAAATAGCCCTTTTCTGCCACCTTTGTTTAGTCAAAGAGGACCAGAAATGGTGAGGTGAATAGTTAAAAAGCCATCACGTTTACAACCATTTATCTGTGTGCTTTGAGATTTACCTAAAACTAAGTAACTAAAATACAAAAATACCCAGGAAGTGGAAGTCTCAGGGGTATTTTCCAGGGGCTGCTGACCTACTTCCCAGACCATGTCGACCTCTGCCCACCCTCCTTCCTTAGGAAAAGAACCTGAGCTGAGCAAGTGGCTTGGCAGTCACCTTGGACTTCTCCTCATCTACTGCCTCCAGGTCACTGCAGGGCTCCAGCTGTGTCCTCTGTGCCCTGTCCCAGGATACTGTGCAAGGCTGCCCCTCCCAAAGGAATTGCCAGGCAGAGAGCTTCCTGGGCCTTGGGGCTCCTCTCACACAGCCTCATCTCTTCTGGTTTGGGTCCTACCTTCTTACAACTGTTTTCCCCAAAGTCAAAGGTGCATGTTGCTATGAGAGCAGGAAGGTAGGGGAAGTGGGATGGGGGGAGTGGGAATTGCTCTTTTTCCCGTTTCTATCTCTTAGGGTCTTTCTGTATGTCTGTCTCCATCTCTCTCTCTCTCTCTCTCTCTCTCTCTCTCTCTCTCTCTCTCTGACTAGCTCAGTCTCTATATCACTCAGCCTGTCTCTCTGGTCATTCTCTTCCCCTCTCTCTTTTCTTCAAAATGGTGAGGGAATCCCTGCCCCCACCCTGGGCTCTGACCTCCGGTAGGTGAGTCAGCCCTGGGGTTAGAAGTGATAAGAAAAGAAGCTAGAGCTATAAACAGCCTTATTAAAAGGAAGGAGCCAGGCAGATTCACTCAGGGTAATAAAAGTGACCCTGGGCCATCACCCTTCCCCCCTGGAGGCTCCTGCTCACTGGGCCGCTCAGCTCTGCATACTGGCATTGACATTCTGAAGCCCAGGAGCCCACCTTGTACAGGCATTAGTGCAGCATCCCTACTAATTTCACAAAGCTTTAAGCTGGTAAAGCAGGTGCATGGGATCCTGGCACACACAAAGGAGGAAGGCTGGGGCATTCTTAGCCCATTTTGCAGGTGAGGGAGTAAGGCTGGGAGTGACTAAGTGACTCAGACTAGCAAGCTGCACCCAAAAACCCAGTCCAGGGATCTCCAGGGCTCTCCAGGCTCCATGGGAAGGGGACTTCTAAAATGTTCACAATTAGTTGAGGTTGAGGACCAAGTCCCAGGTCTCCCCTGGGGACAGTCTAGACAGGAACCAAGAGCCAAGAGCTAAGGGGTCTGGTTTCACTTGTGGAACACAAGCTGGAGGCTCTGGTGCCCAAGACCTTGTCCTGGAGTTCTGAGAACTGAGCCTGGCAAAGCCAGATTCCTGGAAAGCTGGAGCACCTTGGGTGCCTGGCCCCTTCAACCCTTGACTGCTTCATCTGTCATCTGGACATGACTGAACCTGCCTCTTGGTTTTTCCAAGGATCACAAAAGACCCTGGTGGTGAAAGTGCATTGCTGAGCATAATGCTATGGGCAGAATACAGAGGGAAGAAGAGCGGTGGGTGGCTCCGGAGTTCAAAGGGTTCCCTTCCTGGCTTCTGTTTCCTGCCTGGCCCCAGCGCCCAGGTAGCCCCAAGCCTGTGCACTCAGACTCAGACAGGTCCTGAGAGTCCCCAGGGGTTCTGGCCCTGGTGCACAAGGAATATAATGCCAGCGTCTCACCATGGCCTCCCTGCCCCTCTGGGAATCATCTCCCCACCAGGGTCTCCATACTCACTTCCCTCTGCCTATCCCCCACTCCTTTCCTTGCCAGTTTCTTTTCCTCCTGTTGCCCCCAGCCCCTTGGAAATCCTTCCCCAATCTTTCTCCCTGAATCGGTGGCCTTTGTGCCTTCCTTTGACATTCACCTCAGCCACCAAACAAACACAGCACTGATTTGCCTCTTGACTTCCTTTGTCTGTCCCTCCACTAGAACGGAATTTTTAGGAGGACAGGGACTGGATCTGTCTTGCTCTTTGTGCTTTTCCCAAATCCTAACACCACACCTGTCACAGGGGAGGTTCAATCAATGTTCATTGAATGAATAAATGAATGAATTAATGGAGGCCATTGTGTCCGGTGGGGAATCAGACATACAATTACTCTCAATGCAATGTGCTAAACACTGAGGTCCAGCTAAGCCCAAACTGCTGTGGGAGCCCAAAGAGGCAGGCAGATAAGTGTTTCCTCCCCGACACATTGGCACCTCGGTTTCCCCAGCTATATAATGAGGGGCTTGGACAAGATGATCCTTCCTCCTAAGGACCCGGGAGGAAAGAGGCACGGGTAGGTCCAGTTACTTACTGCAGATATCAGCGAGAGCCCCCAGGGCCGCCAGCAGGAAGAGGAGGGCCCCAAGGTGCCCCATAGCAGCAGCAGGTGGGTGAGCAGGACAGACTCCTAGGGCTGGCCTTGCAGAGGTTGTCCTGACCACAGCTGGTCACTGCTCCGAAAGACGCAGCTTTCTGTCACTGATTAATCTCTTGGCGGCGTCTGGCAGCGTGCTGCTAAGTCAGCAGAGACAGAAAGAGGAAAAGGTCTGTAGCTGAGGGGAAATGAAGGCCAAAGAACAGAGGAAGGAAGGGCAGAGTGGCCTTCCTGGAGGTAGGAGCAAGGAGAGGGGGAGGGCAAGTAGGGATGGTGTGAGACGTTTTGAAGCCAGCCACATTCTGTCCTGTCCTGCCTGAAGAGCCCGCCATCGGATCTGCCCAAATCTGTCTGACTGTGCCTGTCTGGTATCCCCCAACTGTTCCAGCAGTGCACCGGCAGTGCTAGGGTGCCTACCTGTTGCCCCTCACAGAAGGAGCCCCTGGAAGTGGCCACAGAGGCCTGGGACAGGGAGGAGAACCGGGAGCCGTGGTGGTCACATGAGCGAGAGAGCCTGCTGGAGCCAGCTGTTATCTGCCCGCCCAGAGGGGTGGGGCTGGTTGGACCTGGACCAGACAGGCTAGTTTCCTTAACCAACGGGAAAACTGGGAGCACCCTGGAGGCAAAACAAAACAAGTTAAGAAACAGAATTTAATCATTTGAGACACAAAGCCATGAGTAGCAAGGTTATTTGTCAGGACTAGAAAAATAACCTAGCCGTGGCTGGTTTTGCTCAGCGGTTAGAGCATTGGCCCACGGACAAAAGGGTTTTGGGTACGATTCCCGACCAAGGGCATGTATCTGGGTTGCAGGTTCGATCCCTGGCCCTGGTCGGAGTTGTTTGGGAGGCAACCAATGAATGTGTCTCTCACATCGATGTGTGTGTCTCTCTCTCTTTCTCTCTCTCTGTTTCTCTCCCTCCCTCCTTTCCACTCTATCTAAAAATCAATAGAAAAATATCCTCAGGTGAGGATTTAAAAAAAGAAAAGGAAAAAGAAAAATAGCCCTGGCCAGTTTGGCTCAGAGGTTAGAGCATCGACCTGTGGTCCAGAGAGACCCGGGTTTGGTTCCCGCTAAGGGCATGTACCTTGGTTGCAGTTTGTCCCCAGCCCTGGTTGGGTTGTGCAGGTGGCAACCACTCGATGTGTCCCTTTCACGTCGATGTTTCTCTCTCTCTTTCTCTCTCTCCCTCCCACTCTATCTGAACAAAAAAATGGAAAAAAAATGTCCTCGGGTGAGGATAAAAAAGAAAAGTAACCTAAAAAAAATCTCAGCAAGGAGCCCTGGCTAGTTTGGCTCAGCGGTTAGAGCATCGACCTGCGGTCCTGAGAGACCCGGGTTCGGTTCCCGCTAAGGGCATGTGCCTTGGTTGCGGTTTGTCCCTGGCCCTGGTTGGGTTGTGTGGGTGGCAGCTATTTGATGTGTCCCTTTCATGTCGATGTTTCTCTCTCTCTCTCTCCCTCCCACTCTATCTGAACAAAATATCAAAAAATGTCCTCGGGTGAGGATAAAAACAAACAAACAAATCTCAGCAAGGAGAGAAAACAAAGGATTTCTCATCTGCACAGCCCCACAGGAGAATCAATGTACAAGAGTTAACTCTGGCCATGCTGTGTGACCTTGGCCAGGTCACTTAACCTCTCTATATTTGAAATAGTTTTTCTTGTGTGAGTTGAAAGAGTTGGATAAGAGCATTCTAACTAAGCTCCCTTCCAGCCTAACTTGGGAAGATATGAAGCCCTTAAAACACCTTAATCGTTTCCAAATAAGCTTTTTATTGCAATCATTTTATGGCAAATTGCCAAGGTTCATTCTTTTAAGATAACCTATTTTTCTGCCTGACTTATCAAGTCGAGCTTTAGATATAGATACATACAGTCATATACTGCATAACAACATTTCAATCCATGATGGACTACATATGCAAAGGTGGTCTCATAAACTTATAATGGAGCAGAAAAAGTTCCTATTGCCCAGTGATGTTGAAGCCATCATAATATCACAGCACAAATGTTACAAAAATCAATAAGGTCGTGGTTGAGATGGCAAACAACTTCAACCCTGGGTGTGGATAAGGATGACATTGAGGAGCTCCTAAGGAACTGCCTAATGAAGAGTTGTTGAACTGGAACAGGAATGCAGAGCTAAAGAAGAGGCAGAGAAAAGGAAACTACAGGAAGAGAAAAAGAAGACAATCCCCACGCCCCTACAACTCCAGGCGAAGAAAAGTCACAGTAAAGGGTTTAGCAAAAAAACCCAGGTATGGGTTTAATCCTTGATTGGGGCACATGCAAGAGGAAACTGACCGATGTTTCTTTCTCCCTTGTTCTCTCTCTAAAATCAATAAAATACTCTTTAAAAAAGGCGGGGGGGAGCCCTGGCCCATTTGGCTCAATGGTTGGAGCATTGGCCTGTGGACCAAAGAGTCAAGGGTTCGATTCCGGTCAAGGGCATGTACCTCGGTTGTGGTTTGATCCCTGGCCCTGGTCAGGGTCATGCAGGAGGCAACCAATTGATGTGTTTCTCTCACATGGATGTTTCTTTCTCTCCCTCCCTTCCCTTTCTCCTTCCCACTCTATCTCAAAATCAATGGAAAAATATCCTCGATGAGGATTAAAAGAAAGGGGGGGGAGGGTAGCAAAAGATTTTCAGACCACAATAAGCTCCTTAAAAAGTTTGAAAACATGGACCCCAACACCAACAGGTTTTCATTAATAGGGAGGAAAGTTATGGTGCATTATCTGCTTACATGCAAATTTATGGTGAAAAAAAGAAACAAACCAAACAAAGCACCATGGAAATATTTCTGAAAAGAGGGAAACCTTCTCAAGAAGAGCCTCAGACAGGTCCTTCAGAACAAAGCATTGTTACTATAGGCCATGACAGCTCCCGGTGGTTTATCATTCCTGAAGAGCTCCAATGAGATGTGGAGGTGGAAGACAGCAATACTGATGATCCTGACCCCCTGGAGGCCTAGGCTAATGTGTGTGTATCTTAGTGTTAAACAAAAAAAAAATTTTTTTTTTAATGTTTATAGAATGATATAAAGGAAGAAAATACTTTTGTATAGCTGTACAGTGTGTTTGGCTTTTAAACTAGGTATTATTTAAAAAAAAAGTCAAAATGTTAAAAGTTTCAAGTTTCTAAAGTAAATAATTACAATAAGCTAAGGTTAATTTATTAGTGTAGCCTAAGTGTACTGTGTTTATAAAGTCTGCATCATGTGCAGCCATGTCCCAGCCTTCACGTTCACTCCCCACTCACTCAGTGACTCACCTGAGCAACTTCCAGTCCTGCAGCTCCACTCATGGTCCGTGCCCTGCACAGGTGCTCCGGTGTTTATCTTTTGTACCATATTTTTACTGTACCTTTTCTATGATTAGATATGTTTAGGTACACAAATACGTACCACTGTGTTATAATTGCCGATGGTATTCAGTACAATAACATGCTGTACAGGTTTGTAGCCTAGGAACAATAGGCTGTACCACGTGTAGTAGGCTGTACTATCTAGGTGTGTGTAAGTGCACTTTGTGATGTTCCCACAACAACAAAATCACCTAACAAAGCATATCTCAGAATGTATCCTTGTCGTTAAGTGACACTTGACTATATAGAGATGTGCACCTGTTCAGGGAAGAACTTTATAAATGTAAAAGTAGATGTCCAGTGTAGAAAGGCTTGGGTGTGGCCCATTGAAGGAAGCTTCAGGAGAAGGAAGGAGCCCTGCTAGAGGCCCAACTTCTGCCGATCATTGGGTTCGGAACTCCAGAAGAGCCTTAGCAATGTATGTGCAATAGAGCTGACAGGACTGCTCTGGCCCCCTGACCCTCTGCCTGTGATAAATGGTGGCAGTGCTGGTTCTGTCACTTCCTGGAGGGCAGCCTGAAAGAAGTGGCCATAGTCAGAGGCTCCTGAATGCCTGGCCTCTGGTGAGAAGCATCTTCCTTGGGAGGGTCTCCTCTGATTCCTGAGGACTTGTGGTAACTCACTGACCGTCAGGAGGAGGTGAATTTCCCACAGCCATTAGAAATAGAGTGAGGGTGGACTGGGCTGTTTTAGGTAACACAGTCAGGGAAAGTAAATAAATAAACAAACAAAAAAGACAAGACAAAACAATCATTTGGTTCATGGTTTCTGTATAGAGGTTTATGGCTGAGAAAGTAGAAATTAGCTTGGAATGAGCAAATAAAATCTGCCTGTCTATGCATCAGAACAGGTGCGGATGAAGTCAGCTGCAACATTAATAGGACACATTACTTCCACCAAGGTCATGTAAACTGTTTCTGAGTGACTATTCCTTTTTTACTAAAATTTCCTCCCCCACCTCTGAAAATCTCTAAGCAGCAGAAATTTGCTGTTTGTGAAATCATACTACTAAAAATGAAACATGCCTGGAGGAGCTACGTCACTTTGACAGAAAAGCAGTTTCAGATAAGAAGTTTCTGGACTGAACAACATTCCACACCTATCTTGACTTTGTAGTTTTCAAGGGAACAGGACTCTGGGTCTATTTTCATGTCCAGACCTGAAGTTGACCCTTCTCATGCAGCCCTGTCTTGAGTCTATCAAAACATTCCTTGTTTACATTTCACCTAACTCCACCCTTCTCCCTAAAACTTTAATTACCTTTCTCTTTGTGTGGACAGACCCCCCAAAATTCCCCTGCTGGGCAGTCTCCCACATTGCAAATGGGTCAATTAAGCTGTCAGACTAAAGATTTGTTCCTGAGGGTTTTAGGCTTACTGGGCTAGGATAAGGGCCAAAGAAAGAATTCAAAAAATAAAAATAAAATTGTATGCATGAAGGTGGCATAATTAGAATAGATATAACACATACATGACTGCGTGGTTATATACGGAATATCTATTTTATTAATGAAATATGTAAACATACAAAATTCTTATTTTAGAGTCCATTTAATGTAGAAAGATGTTCATAATTAATCTTAAATTTTAAAAACTACTTAAGTAACATGTTGATTGCACAAAAATTAGAAAAAACTTCATTTAAAAAAAATTTTTTTCTTTATTGATTTTAGAGAGAGAGGAAGGGAAAGAGAGATAGAAAAATCAGTGAGAGAGAACATCGATTGGCTGCCTCCTGCATGGTCCCCACTGGGGGTCAGACCCACAACCTGGGCATGTGCCCTGACCAGGAATCAAACCGGCGACCTCTTGGTACATGGGTCAATGCTCAACCACTGAGCCACACTGGCCGGGCAAGACTTCTTAAGGTAGGAGGAGGAGGAGGAGGAAGAAAAAGGAAGAGAGAGAAAGAGAAGGAGGAGGAGAAAAAAAGGAAAAAGAAAATCATTAGTCCTATAAACTAGAGAATGGCTCTCAAAGTGTGGTCTATGGACACCTGGGGGTCTCCAAGACCCTTTTAGGGTGTCTGTGCGTTCAAAATTACTTTAAAAACAACACTAAGACATTATTTGCCTTTTGCACTGATGGTGTTTCTACCAGGGTCCAGGGCCAAGCCAGG